GCAAAGCAGGCCAGTCTTCCCTTTTCTCTGCAAGATTTCTGAAAGTTACAACCATGACATGTGAACTGTTGATTTTCTGTCCCACAAAAGGTTGACTATTGTTGAGTGACCAGCGATATGGAGTGTTACTTCAGTTTCGCAGTTGTAAAGATAATTTGTGAACACTCACCGTCTGCCTCATACATTTGTTTGACTGATATAACATAAAGTAATGGCATGATAACATTTGGCTTTGATATTTCTCTATCATTATTATATCAGGGTTTTAATAAATTTAGCATGAATTTCAATGTAATTGTGAAAAGTTTGTTCAAATTATTTTGGTATCTTGTCTTGTTATATCATGTCAAGTCGTTGACTTTTCCTTTTATTTTTTTGTGTTCTGCAACACACCTGCTACACGATGATAATACTGTGATACTGTGGCTAACAATAACTTCCAGTACACTAAACATGACAAAGTCTTCAACATGACAACAGACCTAAACATGACAACTAACCAAAACATGACAAAGTCTTCAACATAACAAACCTAAACATGACAATGTCTTCAACATGACAACAGACCTAAACATGACAACTAACCTAAACATGACAAAGTCTTCAACATAACAAACCTAAACATGACAACTAACCTAAACATGACAAAGTCTTCAACATAACAAACCTAAACATGACAATGTCTTCAACATAACAAACCTAAACATGACAAAGTCTTCAACATAACAAACCTAAACATGACAATGTCTTCAACATTACAATAAGACACTTCGGGTAGCTGATTTGTTCTTTATTATACTTTAACATAATACCAACAAATAAGAAGTACATTTGACATATATTTTACTGCTGCATATATGTGTATTGTAATACCTGTGATTACACTATGTATTCATGCAATCATATTCTTGTTAAAGCAGTAGTGAACATCAGTGGGTTCCAAAACCTATAGTGGCCCCAGAATAATGAAGAAATAGCTCAAAAAAGTGTAAGCAGTAGAAATATCTTAAGAGGGCCCCAGAACAGACAGAGCAGCTGAAATGCAAAGGCTAGACTAGGCTGTAATTGTGTGCTCAGACAACCTCTTAGACCATATTTATTTTAAATTCACCTCAGCTTAAAATTGGTACATGGAAATTTCTGGGAAAGTAAAGTCACTGGGGTGATTCTGAACCAATCCTTTTTTTTTTTAAATGCCAGTTGATCCAATAAAATGTGGCTAGACTGTAGTAAGGGAGTCTACTCCACCTCAGGATGGAAACAGGGGACATTACTGAAGTCTGTCCAATAAATTACTGTCTTAAGTAAAAACTCTGCGAACATGAAAATTATCAGCGACTTTAAACTCTGGTTGACTGAATTATGTGTCACAAAATTTGTTTGTATTTAAAAAAGTGTGTCAACAACATGAAAAGTTTGAAAACTGTTCTATGGTATCAATATCACGAACCTAGGTAAGTAATGGTTTGTCTGTCAGGAACCTAGAGAGAAAAGGATTGTCAGGAACCTCAGTAAGTAGTGATTTGCCTTTCACGAACCTCAGTAAGTAGTGGTTTGTCTGACAGGAACCTTGGTAAGTAAGTAATGGTTTGTCTGTCTAGGTAAATAATGAGGATGGCCTCTGGAATATGGTGCATAACAGAGGTCTGGCCGAGAGACAACTCTACAAAAAAAAACATAGTCCTGGAAATGAGACCAGCCAAGAAAGCAAGAATCAAACCAAAAAGCGGTTTTTTTCTGCTGAATGGCATAAATATTGGAGGCTCTACTATAAATAAATAGCACAAGCAAGCTAAAGAACAAAAAGATGCACAATGCATCTAAGTGACAGTAAAAATGGCGGAAATTTAAAATTCTTGAAAAGAAACACTCCCAAATCCATTAATAAATAAATTCACATAATATCAACAGAGAAAATAATTTAAACACAGAAAAATGGGCAACAGTAGTGAATGTACATTATTTACAATAATGGTATGCGCTCGACACAGCTTAAAGATGGAACATTACCGGTTGAACCGGTAAAAAGCCGCAAAGTTCACTTGTCCATGATTGTGGTCATGTGAAGCAAGAGACTAATTCTACTTCTTGTCTGGTTTATCATCTTTTCATGGCTGTAATTCCCACCATGTGTTCCACAGTCTCCATTCTGAAGAAAGAAAAAAAGTAACCCACTGCCTCCTTAACCAGCATGTTGAATAATTAGGGGTGTTTCCTTCGAAGTCGAAGTGCATCTGCCTGAGAGACAAGGAACTAAGAGTCTGCATGAAGATAGGCCAGATTTGTAAAGTGGATGTGCACACAACACTGAGTTTCTGGAAAAGACTACAGTCCAGAGGTGCACGAATATCCAGAACTTTCTGCCAGAGTTTACAGCCGATAAACGCGAAGAAAAATGATGATCTTGTTACATCCATTAGTTTCAGGTCTCTAAAAGGGTAAAGAAAACTCTGCAACACATTCCCCATGTCCCATTGGAGGTGTTGGGTCAAAGGTCAGATACCACAGCCTAGCTGTAAACCACAACACAATGTGTTAACTGCCGTTTTGAGGATGAGGTCAACAAAATAATTCTCACAGAGGTGGATCTTTAGTATCAGCAGACAAGCCGTCTGACAAACCTCACAACAGCATATGAAAATCTGTTTGACAGTGAAAATAAAACTGGTGAGACTAGGATAATACTTAATAGTTATGAGTTAGGAACCAACTTGAAACACTCAGAAAATTCCCCTAAGCACTCCATTCCCTCCATCTTCAGCAGCAAGCGCAGGATAATAATTTGTTTAAATATAACTAATGATGTATAGTAAAATTACTGAATGCAAAACCAGAACCTCCTCCGCCTTTGGTCACCGACTGTGAGCTCCAGCAGAAAGTCCTGGTTGTTCGTCCATTTGTGCTGGGGCCCGAGTTTTGCGTGTGAATCCGTTTTACTGGCTTATTTGTGTACTTAGCTGTTCCTTGCCGCTCAGGCAGTTGCACCCTGACTTCAAAGCAAGTCCCCAATAAGTTCGACTCCTACAACATGCTTTTTGGGGAGACAGTGGGTCTATTCTTGTTTCCCCTCAAATGAGACCCAGGAACCCACACAGGGAGAATCAGAACTAATGAAGGAAACTTATGCATAGAAAAACAAAGCCAATAAAAAGTATTAAATGTATATTTGGACCAATATACTGATAGTAAATTAAATTTTGATCAATAGGAAATCAGAACAAACATAAATATGTAAAATGTAATAAGCAGAGAGTCTTAAAAATCCTGTAATGAGGGATGCACAATTGGAGTCAAAGAGACCGAAACAGCAAGAGCAGACACATGAGATTAAACAAACAAACACAAGCTAACTTAATAAAAGCTTATAACAAGAATATTTTAGTGATCAGTACATTCACAAAAGTGAATTCCCTGCCCACATCTGACATGCTGTAAATATAATAGTGCTGTTAAGTGGATTTATTTAATAAGAGAACTGACATACAAGTAAATATGTTTTATGGCGGGTGAACTATTTGAAACAATGTTTTCCTGAATGTGAACCTGAATTTTTAAAAATTAAAACACTGATTGCACAATTTACTGTACGGCATATTTCACACTATCTAATCTGGTGTGTACTACAAAATTACATTTAAAAAAAAATACACCAAAACAATGGATTCTTGTAGTGGAAACATGGAAAATCCATAAGACTACTTTGTTAATATTTACATAACCTCAGTGTGGGTTCTGGGACTCCATCTCGTAGTTTTAAAAAAATACAATAAAATAAATAAATCCACTACCCCAGCTAACAATCGGTATGTTGGTGACCAAGGATTTGCTGAAATCGGATGTGCTGGGCCGAAAGGGGGCAGATATTGTAACCTAGCGGTCAACCACAACTAATGTGACAACCACCTTTTAGAGGATTAACACAGAAGAAGAAATGTATACAAAACACAGAATTTTGACTCAAGAGTGTAACTTCAGCTGGAAGGATCCACTGTTATGCTTCCATTTTATGTTACTTCATTCTGTAGTATACTTCTAACAGGATAAGTAAAATATGCCAGGCAACAAAATGAATAATCAGTTATTTGTGTTATTTTTCAAGTTATTGTGTTGAAAAAGAAAGATGTTTTGTATGTTTTATTTTTTTTTAAAAAAAAAACAGAACTTAGAGCCCAAAACCAACCAAAAAAGTATGGGAACCATTCAGAACTTGTATAAAACAAATACATTATATTTAACAGTTTATGAAACAATAATAAAAAAGATGAAAATGCACCACAAACAAATATATGGCCAAACTGACAATGTCACATTCTGAATATCATATCTGAGATGGTACTTTGGTCGGGAGAAAATTCACTGCTTTAAATTAACACTGAAAGAGGCAGACCATGTGCAGGGCTAAGATGCACCAGATTTTGTGATAAAACACAATCTTTCAGTTGATATACCATCGAACCAATCAAAAGTGAGAATATAAGAACTGGTCTTTGGTACGTCAAAATACAAATAATAGTCACTTTGGTTCTTTTTTGTCGTACTTATCATGTGGTATAAGATCACTGGGGATTTGATGAAATCAGATGTGTTGGGTTGAAAGGCACAGATATCGCAGCCTACCTGTAAACCACAACACAGTATGATAACCACCCTTCTGATGATGAAAATCAGAAAAAGAAATTTACACATAGGAAAACTACAACCTGCTGACAGTGCATGCAACTTAGATGTTGAGTTCTGACCAAGGTTACAGAACTGCTGCAATGCACCAAGTCATAAATTTAGGTACCTGAGTCAGCAAATGAAAGGCATCCAACCACTTCATAAAAGATATAACAAGTGTGCGTAGATGCTTATGACCCCATGCCCTATTTCAGCAGGTGTATGGGATGGGACATCCTTAACCTTCAATAAGTCTGTCAGTCTGTGCCGAAATATTTCTGTCCGAAGTGAGTCGGGGCGACGGGGTGGACCTCTGTTGTTAGGATGGTCATTCCGGAAACTCATGCACAAGCTGAGCAGCAGCTGTGGGGAAGATAAAATAGGATAAATGTATCCGACTATAATAACGACTACTTGGATATAAAAGTACATGACACGGAAGAGCTGGTGAGAGACCAAGTTTCTTACAGGCAGACTGTGATGAGAGCAATGTTCTGCAAAGGACCCGATACATGATGATGATGTATCTGACTACAGCTGTGGGGAGAGGAGGAAAAACAGGATAACTGTAACATGCTACAGCTGTGGAGGAAACAAATTAGGATAACTATAACTGGCTACAGCTGTGGAGAAGACCAAATAAGATAACTGTAACCTGCTACAGCTGTGGGGGGGAAATAAAATAGGATAACTGTAACCTGCTACAGCTGTGGGAAAAAAATTGGATAACTGTAACCTGCTACAGCTGCGGGGAAAACAAAACAGGATAACTGTAATCTGCTACAGCTGTGGGGAGAACAAAACAGGATAATTGTAACCTGCTACAGCTGTGGGGGAAACAAAACAGGATAACTGTAACCTGCTATAGCTGTGGGGAGAACAAAACAGGATAACTGTAACCTGCTACAGCTGTGTGTATGTGTGGGGGGGGGGGGGGAGATAAGATAACTGTAACCTGCTACAGCTGTAGGGGAGACAAATTAGGATAACTGTAACCTGCAACAGCTGTTGGGGGGTGGGGAATAAGATAACTGTAACCTGCTACAGCTGTGGGAGAGACAAAACAGGTTAACTGTAACCTGCTGCAGTTAAGGGGAAAATGAAATAAGATAACTGTAATCTGTTACAGCTGTAGGGAAGACAAAAATAAGATAACTGTAACCTGCTACAGTTGTAGCGAAGACAAAATAGGATAACTGTAAACTGCTACAGCTGTGGGGGAAAACAAATTAGGATAACTGTAACCTGCTACAACTGTGGGGGGAAACAAAACAAAATAACTGTAACCTGCTACAACTGTGGGGGAAACAAAACAAGATAACTGTAACCTGCTACAACTGTGGGGAAAACAAAACAAGATAACTGTAACCTGCTACAACTGTGGGGGAAACAAAACAAGATAATTGTAACCTGCTACAACTGTGAGGGAAACAAAACAAGATAACTGTAACCTGCTACAACTGTGGGGGAAACAAAACAGGTTAACTGTAACCTATGACAACTGTGGGGGAAACAAAACAAGATAACTGTAATCTGCTAACAACTGGTGGGGAGTAACTCTCAACTCCACTTTACAGTAATTCTCATCTCCCCTCTCAGAGTAACTCTCAATTCCACTTTCAGTAATTCTCATCTCCCCTTTAAGAGTAACTCTCAACTCCACTTTACAGTAATTCTCATCTCCCCTTTAAGAGTAACTCTCAACTCCACTTTACAGTAATTCTCATCTCCCCTTTAAGAGTAACTCTCAACTCTACTTTACAGTAATTCTCATCTCCCCTCTAACTCTCAACTCCACTTTACAGTAATTCTTATCTCCCCTTTAAGAGTAACTCTCAACTCCACTTTACAGTAATTCTCATCTCCCCTTTAAGAGTAACTCTCAACTTCACAACTTCACTTTACAGTAATTCTTATTTTCATTTTAACAGTAATTCCCACATACACATAAGCAGTAATTCCCACATCCAATTTAGCAGTAGTTCTCACTTCCACTTTAGCAGTAACATTTTTTCTTTAACAGTACTTCTCACCTCTGCAGGTTACTTTCCAACCGTGAGTATGTCCTAACATAAAATTGTGTGTATAATGGATGCTTGGAAGGGGTGAATGTAAGACGGGTCTGTCTGCCTGTCGCGTGCGAATGTGCACCAGAACGCACCGGTACGGAGTGAGCAAATAAGACGTCAGAACAATACGTCAGGTTGTGAAGGAATTGTATTCTAGGAGATGTAAGTCGAAGTTTGACCAAGGCGGACGGTTTGGTCCGGCCTTGGTGTGGATCCTTGAGGATGCTTTACCCCGGGATGCCACGGTGGATCCTTGAGGACGTTTTACCCCGGGATGCCACATTTCGGCAGTAAGCCGGTATACTTCGCAGTTGATGTTTATAGTCCGAAGGAGACGGACGTGGGAATCCTTGAGGACGCTTTACCCCGGGATCCCACGGAAGCAAACGTTATATAAAGTTGGATCCTTGAGGACGTTTTACCCCGGGACTCCAAGACCTCAGCAGGAAGCTGGTGAGCACTACATTCTCGGCAGTATGCCGGTATACTTTCATTGCTTAATTCGGACTTGTCCGAGGAGAAAGTAAATCGTCTGGATCTCAAGGTCGGACTGCAACCTATCGTGAGGACATATCATTACATGGATGTACGAGCGAGCTTTGGTTGAACGAGTTGATTATTACGTGCATATGAATTCTTGAAATTGATCATTGCATTTGTCAATACACAAATGGAACTTTGAAAGAGAGTTCTTGTTCTACTACGTTGGAAGCTTCAGCATTCATCATGTTCTGTTACTCTTGGCCAGTGGCATGTTAAGTGTTGATGCCACCTGTTAACTTGCGACACCCCTAGTCACTTTTACACTCGTTACAAAGAAGCTCCCGCACGTCACAATGGAGGCCAGCCTTTAAAGAATGAGGAACCTCTCGTCACAAGTGTGATACGACATTTTGTCGCATTGTTATTGTTTGCCTCAAGTTGTACACGAAGCACATTCCAGTTGTCACAGTCTTAACATATCTCTAGCTGTGGATATCGTTCAATGTATCAAGTCGCCGCCGCCGCCGGTCTGATCTAGCCATCGTTGGATCTTTATCTGGACTTTATCAATCACTCTTCGTTGGATCTCTGTGCCACTCTTCGTTGGATCTTCATCGGGACCGTATCATTCTTCGTTCGTTGGATCTTCATCGGGACCGTATCATTCTTCGTTCGTTGGATCTTCATCGGGACCGAATCATTCTTCTTCGCTGGATCTTCATCATAATCAAGTCACCGTTACTGACTGTGCCACTCTCCGTTCGATTGAATCGGATCAAGTCGTCCTTTTGGTTGTACATTGATCTGCTACTTGCCGTTGTACAGGTCGTTATTTAGCGATTTTTCATCGCTAACATTGCAGTGTGTTGTTTGTCTGCCACCCAATTGGTAAGTTCCTGTACGTTTAGTTTGTAATAGTGCTACCTGGTGTTCTTTCGACGATTGTCCCTTCTCTATTTGTTAGTTCCATTGGTGTATTTGTGAAGTCATTTTTTATTATCGTCTGTCAGACTCGTCGCATTGTACGTGTGTGACAGTACGCAGTATTCGTTGTCCTGTGGCGTCACTTCATCACACATTTTCATATATATTGTGTATACTGTTTGTCGTAGTACTGAATTTATTAGCAAGGAAAATATAGATCATATTTAGTAGCCTGTCGATGAAGTGAGGTCAGTGTATTAGTCGAAAGGCTCACGTTATGCGAATTTTATAGATTAGGCGTAGATTGCCCAACATGTTATTAGCTTCTAGGTTCGACAAGAGTCGACTGATTTGGCTGTGTGTCGAGAGACTGGTTGCCAGATGGCAAGGCACATCAGTTATCATTTATAGGTTATAGTGATCCAAAGGAAGGACATAACCAAGAAGAAGAATTTGTCCTGGATGGTGACGTGGGAAGTGTAGGACCACTAGAGAAACAGGGCAGAGTTCTGTTTTAGAAGGCTACCGGTGACCCTTGGAGGGAAAAACGCAGGGCGTAGGCGAATGTTGTAGACTCACGCTAGTCGAGGTGAGGTGTTTTCTTTCAGGTGACACCGCCTTAGAAGCATAATATAATGTATAGGAGGAGGTTTAGATGGACATTCGTCCGGTATCATCAGTTCATCCCTATTGTCTCTTTATAACGTAAGCGTAGTGTTCTTGTGGACAGAGTAAAATTTTGAACAAACACCGGCTGTCGTAAGTTGAGAGTGATTACGTGTCACAGATGGTGCTCTAATCATTCTCAAGCTGACAGGTTTGCCGAGAGAAAATAACTAGAGAAACACGGTGAGTGATACTGGGTTATGCATCGCTCCACGTGTTAGAAATTTCACACAGTTTTATCCCGCGACGTGGGTATTTTTCGTCGCTGGAGGAGACATTGGTGTGGGCTGAACTTTTGACCCTCGTGGTGGGTAATCCACGATGCAGAAGTTTTGGCGATAGTATCTGTGTGACCCTTATTTGACGTGGGTTTTGTCGTCAAACGAGGAGTCGTAAATCAGGATACAAACTTTTGAAACAGAGATTGTCATGCAAAAACACTACAGCTCTAACAGCCAGACGGGCATCAGCAAGTTGTTGCAGGGATCGTAATGATGTTTTTATTATCTCGACGACATTCTGCTTTTCCATAATGATCATAAACCCTTTCAGCGTGTTGTCCTCATTGGCGATGAAAGGAATGCCAGTGGAGGTGATCTGGACGAGAGAGTGCGAGGACGCGCTCCAGAGATTACAAAAGGCATTGAATAGTAATCCGTTCTTGTGTCTGCCAGATTTGTCTCTGCGTTCTATGTTTCCACAGATGCCTCTGATGTCACCATCATGTCGGCACCCATCAAGAACACACACATCCTAAGATGAACAATGAATCTACAGACGTTTAACTTCAGTTATTTATCGCCCATGGAAAGAAAATGTCTTGGCCGATTTTTTTGTCACGCGCACCAAATGCATTGGAAGACGATTGATGTTTGTTTGTTGAATTTACATGATATTTAAAATGCATGATGTTATGAAAAATAATTTGGATAACAATAATGTTGATAATAATGCTTAGTGAAGTCAGGAATCTATATTTTGCATGCATTTAGTAATGTATTGACGATATATTGAGGAGTGAGTGTGTGTGTATTCAAGTGTTCTTATTTGCTCTCTCGTACTGGTGCTGTTTGCCGCGACATGACTCCAGTTTTCCGACCGAGACTAGGACAAGTCCTAGTGCTCGGTCGTCCTCGGGAGGGGGGAAAAGCTGTCGCGTGCGAATGTGCACCAGAACGCACCGGTACGGAGTGAGCAAATAAGACGTCAGAACAATACGTCAGGTTGTGAAGGAATTGTATTCTAGGAGATGTAAGTCGAAGTTTGACCAAGGCGGACGGTTTGGTCCGGCCTTGGTGTGGATCCTTGAGGATGCTTTACCCCGGGATGCCACGGTGGATCCTTGAGGACGTTTTACCCCGGGATGCCACATTTCGGCAGTAAGCCGGTATACTTCGCAGTTGATGTTTATAGTCCGAAGGAGACGGACGTGGGAATCCTTGAGGACGCTTTACCCCGGGATCCCACGGAAGCAAATTGTCTGCCCAAATTGTGATCCTCTGAAAATAAAATTAATTCGTGTCTGAGGGTTGAACAGGGTTTCTCGGATTTGCTCCTATTTGATTTTCATCCATGAGGTGTTAACTCTATACACAGTAACCCTGGAGGGAAACGACCTCCAGTTTAGCAGTAACTTTCACTTTTGTTTAACATTTTCCTTTCTCCCTCCTCTTCAACAGTAATTCTCACTTGCCCTTCTGCAGTAATTCTCACCTGCCCTTCTACAGTAATGCCCACCTTCCCTTTAGCTCTCACAAACTCACTTACCCTGAGGTGTAGAAAACAAGGTTTAATAAGATGATATTTGATTCGTGCACATTGTTCTCCTGCAAGTTTTTGACTGCTGTAGATACAATCTTCCCTGTACCTGAAGGAGACAAACAAATAAATGATAAAGTAAAAAGTTCTTTACTAGGTCTTACAGTATATGTTCTTCTCTTATTCTGTCCTACTGCTTATGCTGTAAATCATCAAACAGAGAAGTTAGATTTAGTTTCCAGATGCAGTTTCCTTCTTTTGTGAGGTAGCTTGTTTTATTTAATGTCATATTGTGTTTCTGCAGTGTCTCTCTTTTACTCCCTCCACCCATGTCTTGAATGGCAAGGGAAGTTACTCTAATCCCGGTCCTGGAAACATGAACAGCACCCTAGAATCATTTTTTAACTGAACATATTGGATGTAGGGTCCTAATCCCATACTTCTTAGGTCTATGATTTCATCAGCACATGTGCTCCCACACGGTGCAGGCTAGTGTTTCCCTTTTGCTAGTCCACGACACCTTTCATAAGCAACCCCCTAATTTTAGAATGCAATTATTTTTGCGATTCGAATATTTATAAATCACAAAACATCCACCTGTGTGGGTTCCAGAGCTCCAATGTAGGAGGAAACAGAACAGACCCTCTGCCCCCTCAACGAGCTTGTTGTAAAAGTCAACCAGTTAGGGCTGTTTTCTTCTAAGTCAGAGTGCATCTGCCTGAGAGGTGAGGAAACAACAGTCCACAAATGAGCCAGACCTATAAAACACATGTGCATGCAAAACTCAAGTTTTAAAATAAGTCCAATCCAGAAGTGAATGAACATCCAGAACTTTATGTCAGAATTAAAGAAGATGATGAAGAAGAAAAAGAATAAGTTCTTCAGTGTGACTATTCTACAGAAGAAGAAGAATGAACTGGGAGTCTACGTCCATTAACAATAATCCCACCTCATTGATGATTCAAACAACTGCAGAGTCAGCAGGATCCTGTTGTTGTCGTTGCTGATCAATGGTTTGGTTTATACAACCAATCAACATCATGGCACAAGGGCAGTAACCCATAAGTGCTCTGATCTACTTCTAACTCAAGCCTGAGTCTGAAGAATCTCAGCGCAGTGCACAAACTCTGTAGCACCAGCAAGGATCCTGAAATACTTTGAGTAGATTTTAAACTCCAAATTTTACCTGGGCAGCGCTGTTAGGCTACTATTTTTTTAAATTTCCAACTGCCAAGAGACTTTTTACGTACGCAAAAAATACACATGGGCATCATATCTTACTACCCAGAGACAGAAGAAATTACAAGATGTCGTTGTGAAAAAATCCAACCTTCATCTGGGCTTGAACCCGGACCCCCAGCACTCAAGACAGACGCCATGCCATGTGACCACTCAGCCCCATGTCGTTGCTGATCAATGCATGACAAAATATCTTGACGTAACTTCAGTACTGTTATTTGTTATCTGTGTTGACATCCCAGAACATCGGTCTGACCCATCTGCTCCGTCCTCCCATGCAGCAGCCATATTAGTGCCAGTAGCCATCTTAGTGGCAGCAGCCATCTTAGTGCCAGCAGCCATCTTAGTGCCAACAGCCATCTTAGTGTCTACATGCTCACCATACCCAGTAGGTGTTGACTTGCAGACCTTCTTTCTTTGCTGTGCAACCAGTTTCTGCACGCTTGTTCTTGTTTAATACCCGTTTTCAAAAGGGGTGTATCTGACCCCTCTGTCTCAATATCCCTGGAATGCAGAGCATCCAGTATGACCACCCTGTCCACACTTCTTTATCCACTAACTACTGCAGATACAGCCAGTTTGTCTGCTCTTTCTTTTCCTTTCACCCCAGTGTTCATTATACCAAACCTGACATTCCACCTTTGCCAATGTCTTTGGGCGGAGAAGCCTACAAGGAAGAACACTTGCTTCATCTTGAGAAGAGGAAATGCAACCTGAGCCTCCACCTTCACTAGCAGCTGGTCTATGAGGGAAGCTCCGACAGACAGACAGACAGAAAGCACTGCTGTTTTGAAACTTCTGGAGCATACTTTGTTCAAAACATATTTCCTTTTGAATCAACAAAGCTGGAAAACATAGGGATCATGCTGTGCAGGCAACACATTGTTATTACAATACTGCTCAAGCTCTGGCCTATGGATGCCTAACTGACATCGCTATGGGCTGATTACTATGCCTCCCCTTAGCACAACAGGAGGTGCTAACGACAACAAAATTCCAGTTCAGAGAAAAAAAAAATCACAAGGATTATAAATAGCTCACTCATAATGGGATACATGAGCAATACTTTCCGCTGATTGATGTCTTTGGGCAGATTTGCATATACAACCCGAGCATCGTTAGCATCATCACCACTTCTGATCAGAATTTTGCCGATTCGAATTGATCTACAACAGTCTCTCAGGCCTTGTTCCATAGCCTCCCCTAGTGAATGAAGCAACATTTTATTATGAGAAAATGTGTAGCATTGTTGCAGAACTAAAACAAAGAAAATAGCAAATATGGTCAATGTGAGTATAATACAACAGGGAAATTTAAAAACTCATGTTATGGAGACAACTAAAGTGTCGTTTTTTTCAGGGTTGACAAAGAAAAAAATACAGAAAAAGTAGAAAGGATGAAAGTAAAACAATGATTAAATAAGTGCAAAATAGGAATAACAAGTCGAAATTAGGAAAAAAAATAGAAGTGGTGATGGAAAAAAGTAGCAATTGAATAAACAATGAAGTGTGGAAGCCAAATATATTTCAAAACTATATACATGTATGTGTGTTGCGTGCTGATTTGGGAGAGTGTAATATTGTGTGAAGGGACAGAGTGGTATGATACTACTTTCCGGGAGTTCAAGGGAAACAGTGTCAACATTGGCCCAAGTAGTGAGGGGGAGAGAATGTTGACCAGTGAGAAGTATACTGTCACGAAAAAAGTAGACGTGTGGGTCCACAGTATGGGGGCTGACAAGCATTGCTAACGAGAAGCACAGGGAAAGTCTGAATTACGTGACAGTGTGATTATCATGTAACATCAGCCACCCACATAAGCGTGATCCTCGAGGACGCCCACATGAGCGTGAGTCTCGAGAACACCCACATGAGCATAATTCCCGAGAATGTCCACACGAGCGTGCCTCTCGTGTAACATCAGCCGCCCACATGTGTTTGGCAGGGATATATTGGGGCTGTGTAGACAGTCCGAGTCAGTGAGCTGTAGCCAAAAAGCTAAGGCACTGGAGAAGTGCGGGTGTAGTACACAGAGAGACGCTGTACATCAGAGAGAGAGACCAAGTCAGAATCAGTATCTCTCGAGTGAGACAGACAGAGTACCGTACAACTATCAGGCAGTAAGGTCTGCATAAGGGATGTGGTAGTGAGACAGACAGAGTACCGTACAACTATCAGGCATCAAGGTCTGAGTAAGGGTTGAGTTTGCGGTACTGGTCGATGGTGTAGTCCTGCTGGCGAAGTATGTCCAATGGGACTGGATGCTCCAATAGTGACTGTTCTAGGTGACAGCGCAAGGAGACGTAGGGTCACCATGGAAACAGAACAGTAGGGATGCCAACGAGAGCTGTGTGCTAGAGGGGACTTGTGTTAGAAGTCCAGTCGGTCATTGGAGTCCTTCCACAGGCTGACGTGCTGTGTGCTTTGGAGAACAGGCAAGTGAAGTCCATCTCCAGTCAGCCATTGTTGTCTGCTGAAGTAATGTCAAGGTCCAATGGATAGGCGAGTTCGTCCTGTTCGGCTGTACGACAAGCCTAGAGTCGTGGGACGCTGTAGACCTTCAGAGCTTTAGTGGTCAGGGAGAGGAGGCTACAAGTTGAGAGAGAGTGAGGACTGTATAGACTAGGTGCGAATGCCAATTAGGATCAATGTTGACGTCTCTGAATAAGCCATTTTGTTGATGTGAGGGCTTGCGTATACCCTCTTGTGTTCTGTCGAATAAATCCATTGTATGACGAAACTATTGAGGTCGAGTCCTGCTTCGAGAGTGAGGGAGCGAAACTTATATCTATAGACACTTGGAAGTGTGGTGATTAGTGTGTAACTCAGATAGCACACAACAATATGCATAAAGTTCCTGATTTTAACAACAAAGATCTAGCTCAGAACTCACCACTTCTGACAATGCTGACTCCACAATTTCCTTTTTCATAGCGGAGACCTTCATATGTGTGACCTGCAAAGGTCAAAGGTACATTTGAGTAATGTTAAAATTTATTCTGTCCAACTCATAATAGGGAATACAAATTTATAAAAGACAGACAACAAATAAACAGTAAGCTGATGAAGATGCAGACCGGAAAACAGATGCTCATATGTTGGTTAGTAAGATTCTCATGGCAATTAGGTAGTGGAATATCAATAAATCCATCAATTCCTCGGTCAGTTGCCGTCTTGCCAATAAAGGTTAACTACAATGTTTTCAACATGCCCTGTCTTTCGCCCTTGATGTACTGTCACTGAGAATGCTTTTTGTCCATCTCTTGATGTTATCCTTCCTCTTGTATCCCTGTCTCTCTCTCTGCTTTTCTTAAACTTTCACCTTTCGTAGTTTTCAAAAGAGTGTTATGTTTTCAAATGTGAATCCTTGCTTCCTCCCCTTAAACGAGACAATATTGAATTAGCCTAACAAACATAAATAAATACCCAATATCATACAGCAGGTCTTTTATAGAACTACCCTCTCGTCAAAGCAAACCTAAAAGTCTCTCTTTGCCCAGCCAGTTCTCCAGCCCAATTTGCTTTCATAGCCAAAGGATCTTCAGTGTCTTGTAAGTTGTATCCACCTTCATGGAGGTCTGCCTCTGCCATATTTTCTGGAAACCGTATCTTCCATAACTGATCTCTCCAGGCCACCATGACGTTTAACATGGCCAAAATACCTCAGCTTTCAGACAGGATGCTGTTTATGAGCCAATTCTCCTCCTGTATCAGAAAAGACAAAAACTTTTTATCCTAATTATAACCCAGCCAGACATGTTGAACAAGAATACTGTTGAATAAATTACTACCACTACTATTTAGAATAAACAAAGATGAGCACTCACCAGTCGGTGTGATAACTGTGCATTTACGATACGGAAGTTTGTTGAGTCCTTCTTCAACAACCAGTCGGATCTAAAATTTGAAACAAGTCAAATCATCAAGCCAAGAGACTCTGAAATACTTAGCAACTCATACCTCAATTATAGATCTTTCTTCTTCTATACTTCTCTCAAAACGAACACTTATATCATGAGGCCAGTAGTCTTGATGAGAGCTATTCTTCTTTCCTCTACTCCTAGAATGCCTCACAGCGCCAGGGCTGGAAAACATCTCTAGAACGGGGCCCTTCTGTTTGCTTCGCATAAAGTATGAAAGCTACTGTGTAGTCCAAATCTCTTCATGCACCATAAAACTTTAAAGAATATACCAGACTGCTTATCTTCTAAACCTACCAGACTGCTGGCCCGCTATTACGGGAATTTCCTTAACTGCCACTAAACCGCTGTCCCTCTATGTCGGGAATATGCATACTATGAAAAAACCAACGCATCTCAAACTAAAAATAACTAGCCAATCGTAATCAGATCTCATGGATAGTCTTCTCAGATGTCTTCCCATATGTGTTTGGATTAAATTTGTATTGATTTACGCAAAAAAATTATGGCAATTCACAATAAAATGAGCGGCAGACGAACCAAATCACTTTGACAGGAAAGTGAAGTAGGTCTAGGCTTTTCACAGTCCAACAGGTGATCGATACTTTGGTTTATTCAGACTCTGCGGAGTCATTATTTCATGAAGAATACGTTCCCAGTTGAAGGGATACAGTCAGTGAGAACCGGAATGATGAGGAGAATCTTGAAAATTATAAATCTAGAAATAGATCGAAAGTAGGAGAAGGGGGCGTGTCCCTCAAACAGCAACATCTGGTGTTCACTTTGTGAAACAAGGTTCATCCTGCTGGGTGGATTAGCACAAAAGGTAGAATATTGGCTCTAGATAGAAGGTAAACCTATTTTCTACAATTTCTGCAAGTTTCATCTTATTCTATCCACTTGTTTGCATGTAACTAATATTTTTGTATATCATGTTGTTTTTTTCACGTTAATGCCCAGGAGCTCAGGTATAGGAGGCAGTTAGGTTCAGGGCCTCAGGTCTGGTAGGGTTAGTCTTAACTGTTAACAATACATACATACTTTAAGGTGATCATACTTTAAGGTGATCATACTTTAAGGTGATCATACTTTAAAATGATCTTAATTTAAAAGGTGTTAACTGAGAACTGACTGACTTTGTACCCCACCAGGACATCAGACTGAGCGATAATCACCTGGTGACCAAAGTGTCACCATTTGAATAAGGATCACCTGTGGAGAGGTCCCAGCAGCCCCGTTCAACCATTAGGTTATGTTAGAGCCCCCAGCAACCAACCATAAATGAGATTTCAACTGGCTGACTTCCCAACAAAACACAATCATGAATGATAAAATGAACGTTTTGGTTAGAAAACCTTTTTCAGCAAACAACAACATAAACAATAATACAGCTACATAACAGACTGCATATTATAGTTTCCTTATTTGGATGAAGTCTTCTTCTTCGCCTTCACCAGCTGTACACACTGGCGGAAAGTTCTGGTTGTTCGTTCACACCTGGAATGCAGTCCTGCTTTAGAACCTGAGTGTTGCGTGTGCATCAGTTTTACTGATCTGATTCACTTGAATGCAGACTGTTGGTTCCTTGCCTCTCACGCAGATGCACTTCGACTTCAAAGAAAGCTACGACATGCTTTCTGGTAGGCTGTGGGTCTATTCTTGTTTTCCTCCACAATGGGGCCCCTGATACCACACGGGGTATTTGGATGAAGTGAACTCCTAGTCGAATTATTCATTCACATGCTGGAAAACAAAGGCCTAATAGTTTTAGCCCCATGCTGAA